GAAAAGAAAAAATCTATAGATGAATGCCCCTATGAGCATACATTTAAAAAATTATTAATGAAAGTTTAATAATAAATAATATCAAATAAATAAATAAAAATTTCAGGATACAAATTTAACAATGGCTGTCAACTTTCTATCTATGTATTCATAATGAAATACCACAACTTAAAATGTATAATTTTTTTCTGATGGTGCATCAAGAATTTTTATTTTCAACACCACTCAAGATATTAAAAAAAAAACAGGGATAAATTTGACAAACAACATATACAGTCCATATCCTGAAAAGTATAAAAAAGGGGCAAGGAAAATCATAGGATATCAAATGAATGGAAAGATGAGCCAAGTCTGAAGAGGATACCAAGTGTTGGTGATAATGAATTCTCTCTTAACTCGCATGTAGATTGGGCACAGTTCTAATCTAAATATGTGACATTATTGAAAAAAATTGATACATTTACATGGGAAAATTAAAGAATAGAATATAAAGAACAATTTTCAAAAAGAAGATAGATGGAGGTTTAGGATGCTTGATTTTAAGGTTTCTTATACAGTTATGTCAGGACAATGTGGTATGAGTGCGTGTGTATGGTTTATGTTACATATATTCCAAATATAAGTATATAATCATTCTTTGACAAAAATACCCAGTGGGGAAATATTTTTTAAATAGTTGGTGTTGAAATAATTGAGTATCTATACACAAAAAATTGGATCTGTACCCTATGTCAAATGAAAGCCCCAGGTGGATCACAGCTGCTCAGGTTCAATGTGAAATGTCCCCCACAGGAGCACACGTTAGGACATTTTGTCACCTGCTGGAGGCACTGTTTTCAGAGGCTGCGGAACCTTATGTCCTGTGGTCTATCGAGCAGAAGTGGGTGTCGGACCTCGAAGGTGACATCCGCTTCCGGTTCCAGTCCACTTCCCGATCCGTAATGACGTAACGAGCTGCACAGGAAGCTGAAGCTGCTAGAGAGGAAACTGCCATGAACGGCTCGTCCATGTCTTACCCGCCATGATGGACCGAGCCTCTCCTAATGGAGAGCAAACATGAGTCTTTCCAACCTTGTTTCTGTCAAGTATTCTGACATGAAAAGCGATAGGGTAGTTTTAGACACAATAGAGAAAACTTAAAAAGGAAAAAAAAAATCAAGAACACAAGAGGAGTACACCGGAAAGCCAATAGAGGTGGTAGGAATCAGGACGGAAGTAGGCAAGGGACTGAAGAGGGAGTGGTGCGCAGCCTCAGCATCCTGTTCTTGTGAGTCCGTGGGAAGCGGTGATCCCGAAGAGGTCTGACTTCAGAGCTGGAGGTGAGAATCAATGACGTCAGAGGGAACTCGGGAGCTCCCGGGGGCTGCAGAGGGATTTACACATCATGGCGGGGACGGTGAAATTCGTCACTGATGGAATACCGTGTCTACTGATGACCTGAGGAAGACTGGATAGATCCAAGGGACAGAAAATAAAGGTTGGGATGTTTGTGGGATGAGTGTGCAAACCATCCGAAATGTGTTCACCGTGGAAACCAGATACGGGCTCACAGATGAACAAGTAGACAATCTGTATGAATTGATCACAAGGGCGAAGAGATACAGGAAGCAGCAGAGAAGGAACGGAGTCCTTCTCTGGCCTCCACGAGCATCCACACACCGGTGACATTCACTCACACATACATACATACATACATACACATACATACATACATTCATACATACACAGAAACAAAAATGATAAAAAAATACAATCTAAAAATGTTTTTTAATGTTCTGGGGACTTTGTTTCTTTAGATCTTAGAACATGACACATCATCCCAGTAACTCCTGTACTGCATAGTCCACCTGTCTGTAATTTCCTAATAATCTCCTGTATTATTTCTGTCTATTTCCTCAGGTTGCACTTCTGTGCTTCTTGCAGGCCTTCTTGGTGACTTAGTCTGCCGGAGACTGGTGATGCTGCCTCACTTTCCCTCCTCATTGGCTGGATCAGAAACCAGCATCTGTAAAGCCTCTTTGTCATCGATTCCTTTATTTCAGCTTTAGTGGTGGGTGTGAGGTTTAAATGTTAAGAGTTCTGGGGAAGGGAAACCCGTGTGGGAAGTTCCCCAGTACAGGTGCATGCTTCCTGGAGTGTCCTGTTCCTGTGTCTACAGAATTATGTGATTTCAAAGGAGACAATTGGGTGAGTGATAGGACTGGGGACAGAGCACTCTTAAGTCACAGTCAGGCCATGGCTGCTCTAGCACTAGCTACTGTGGAAGTAAAGTATTCAGTGTCACCACCTTAATGTATGGCCCTGCCAGGAAATCTAGGAGACAGGTCAATGGGAGGGAACCGACTCCGAGTCACCCACATGTGTGCTCCTTGTTCAGCTCTATCAGTGGAATGGGATGGCTGTTGACCCATCAGGGAGTAGCTGCTTCTCACAGCTTCTGAATCAACACTATTTCATGGTTTGCTAGGCGTGAGGAGAGAGCTGGGGATAAGGGAAACAGCTAAAGTCCCTGTGACCTCAAGGAGTCTAGCAGGGTGTAGAACTCAAGAAAAAAATGGCATCTGGTCCAGTTATTCACCCCACTCAATATTAAAAACAAAACCCCAAATCAAACTTGGCTTCTTTCCGTTGTGTGCTATTGGAACTGGGACCCTGTTCCCAATTCCATGAGTGTCCATTTGGGTCAGACCCGTGAGCAGGAGCATTACCAGGCCCCTGCAGCTGTAATAGTTTCTACAGTGTCTCCTGTTGCTATCTCTCCGCTGTGCTATTTCTCTGCTTTTACTGTGGAGAGGAACCTCTTACCAAGTATCTCACTGTGTACTCAGAAATTCTGACTCACCCAGTTACCACACCATTCTCTGAGGTGGTGTTACCACAATCACCATTCATATTAGGGATGAGGAAGCTGGGGCAGAATCACTAAGCAACCTGTGAAGTTCCAGGAGTCAAAGATGAAGCCGCAGTCTGCATCCGAGCAGTCTGGTTTCAGAGGCATGTGATGTGTCTGCCCCACACTCTCATTGCTGGTGGGCTGGTCTTTCATATGACCACTGTCACTGCCCACATGGGACAGCTGGACGAGTCTGCCTGGACTTTCCTCCACTTTTCCACACGTCCTGCATGGACCCTGTCTTAGGGATGGACATCTGCTGCTGTTGCTGAGTGTGCCCTTTCCTCTCAGGTCCTGAGGGGTGACATCTGTGCAGACAGCAGTGTGGACAGCCCAGGGTCCACAGGTGTTATAATGTCTTGTGTCAGCTTGAGTAGCTGTCTGACAGATAAAATCAAACACTTTAGAAGTAACATCAGATACATAAGGTGCAGGCATGACCATGAATGTACACAGTAACCACCGTACATGTTGGGGAATCTGATGCTGTACTTACATTTTCTTTTAGGTAGGGTCTTATTATTTAGCCCAGACTGACTTGTAACTTGCTGTGTAGACCAGGTTGGCCTGGAACTCACAGTGTTCCTCGTGCCTCTGCCTCCTTAGTGCTGGGATTAAAGGCATGTGTGGGCAGGTCCAACTCTACTCACCTTATGTAGACTTTTAAAGATTAAATAGACATGTGTGATTAGTAAACATTGTGTTTTCACACAAAGAACTAATTAACCACAGTCAATTTAACCTGGAGATACATGGCCTGGAAGGCTGTTGTTTTGATCAGAAAGGACATGGGTGTTACCAGGTGGCTCCCTCTAGCCAGATCCCAGATCTCCAGGCCCTGTCACTACGCTGATTTCTGTCGATTTTTTTTCATATAACTGATACATTTGGTGGTTTTAACAGGTCCTTGAAGCTATTGTATGATATTGTTGTCTTAAAATTTTTTTAAATGCAATTCTAAAAGAGTTCAAATAGTACTTAGAATTCAGGGTTAGATTTTAATTTAACTTGTGTTATCTTTTAGTTGACATACACGGTGTCATATTGGACTTTTAGAATTTTTCCTTTTTTTAAAATTTACACTGGGTTTTTCAATGTAGTTCTGACATGCACTGTTTGACCAAGATAACTTCAAACTCATGGTAATCCTCTTTGAGCTTTTTAAGTGCTGGATCACAGGTGCAAACCACCACACCTGGTAATTATCATCATCATCATCATCATTATTAAAGTTGCGACCGGGTGAGTCACTTACCTACCCTGCTATGAGACTCCAGATCCTGTGTACATCTTCAGGTTCGTGAAGCCCTTCCAGTGCACTGTGGTGGTTGTCAGAATCAGACTATAAAGCGTGAAGTTAGTTTGCTTCAGCTCCCAGTTCACAGGTTTCAGCCCATAGTCCCTTGCCTCTGCTTCTTTTGGGTTTCGGTGAGGCAGATCATTATGGTGGGACACAGAGGGAAAACTGCTCACCATGGCAGCCTGGAAGCAAGGGAGGGGCGGAGCCTCTGCAGCCCCAACACACCCTTGGCCAATTTCCTTCTAGGCTCCACCTCCTCAAGCTTCTGCCTTCTCTCAGTAATTTCCTGAGCAGCAGCCAGGCCTCTGATACGCGGATTCTCAGTAGCCGTTCAAGGCAGAGACTGTACAGCAGAGAGTGATGTATGTTCAGGTTACCACAGATCCCAGAGATGCTTACAAATTACATCTGCTTCAAGCTACTGCCTGTGGTGTGCATTTCTTCAGTAAGTGAAGTTGAGTCTTCTGAGGTTCAGATGGCGTGTCTGTGCTCGCTCTGCTGCCTGTGTGACTCTGGCTTTTCAAAAATGTTACTTAAAGCTGGGCGGTGGTGGCGCACGCCTTTAATCCCAGCACTTGGGAGGCAGAGACAGGTGGATTTCTGAGTTCGAGGCCAGCCTGGTCTACAGACTGAGTTCCAGGACAGCCAGAACTACACAGAGAAACCCTGTCTCGAAAAACCAAAAAAAAAAAAAAAAAAAAAAGTTACTTAAAGAGAAAAACTTGCAGAATAATAAAACCCATACTTTATATTTATAATGAAACTTAATATAACATATTGCTCAAGAATTGAATAGTGGAAATACCTAAATAACTTCAAATAGACTAAGGAAAACTTCAGGGTAGTTGCCTGATATATTTATTAAAGGAAAATTCAACATCATTCTTAGCATTACATTAATAGTGTTGTTAGGAGCCGTGGGGTCCTGATGGTGCATTTGATCCCTGAAGTGGACACAATAGAGTCCTGGGTGTCCATTTTGGTGACGAGTCGATTACTAATCTTACACTTGGCCCCACTGACCAAGCACTGATTTCATGGGATGCTGGCTGAGGAGAGGGTTTCTTCTTGAGCTTCCTGGAAGGAGTCCACAGCTCTTTGATCCTATACATGTGACCTGAAGGTGTTCTGTGTAAAACTCTGGCCAGTATAAAGAGCATGGCTTTGCATTTTACAAAGAGAGTCCAGGATTAGAAAGAGGCTCAGTGGCTCCCTAAGAACTCTGCTTTCTCACCTGAGGTGCCCCAGAGGCTCAGATATAACAAAAGATAATTTCTCTGTCCCCCAACACAAGTCACACTCATTCCTCCCACTACAGCCTCAAGTGTAAGAACAGTAGACTTGAAATAATGTAAGAACAGTAGACTTGAAATAATTATCCCAAAGTTGCCTATACTTGACTCACTTTTCTTTTTTGGTCTTTAAATCCCAAACACAGACAGTCTGCAGTTTGGAAAGCTTTACTGTATAACTGAAAGGAGTGGTCACCTCAAATGTCCATTCAGTGGGGCTCCATGAAGAAACAGACCATGCCCCACAGAGAGAGCCCTTTTAAACAAAGTCTGCCCAGAGACAGATGACAAACTTCAGCTCCCATGCTGATTGGTTCCTCACTTGGGACCAACCCCAACCTCTGGGGTTTCAGATCACTTAGGCTACAGAACTTTGCTTTCTGAAGGGGACACAGCAGGTGTGAGCCCTGGTGACTGCCATTCCCTGTCTTAGAGATGGCTCTGCAGACCCCCAGCCTCCTCCTCTCAGCAGCTGTGGTGGTGCTGATGATGCTGAGCTGCCCAGGGACTGAGGGCGGAGACTCCCCAAGTAAGTGAGGGCAGGGCTCTCCAGAGCCAGCACTCTGGGGGGACTGGTTCTGAGGGACCCTGGAGACCTTGGGATGTGGCCGAGTGGGATAGCAAAATCCTGATTTTAGATCAGTCTTTTACATTGATTCCTTTCTCTGAAGAGAGACTGAGGCTCCATTCTCTTTTCTGTGTTGTAATATAGAAGCTAGAATCGTGCACACATGGTGAGCCTGGCATATTAAAATAGAAGGAGACCGAGTTTAAATTTCCCACTAAGGACAAGACAAAGAGCACAGGGTTGTGCGTGATACAGCAGGGCTTACAATACCAGCCCCAACCCCGCATTCCTTCCCCCAGCATTGTGTCTGGAGGAAATGCCAGATTCTGGGATGAGGAAACAGGTCAGAGATGGTCTGTGGTCCTGGTGTTTGAGGAAAATTCCTGATGTGGAGTGGAGGTTTTAAAGAGCGAACTTTAGGTGTCTAACACTGAGAGAAGCCAGGGGCCAAGGAGTAAATTTCTTGGACTTGGACACTGAGTTGGCAAATTTAATTTCCAAGAAAACACTAGGCCTAAAAGGGAAGTATGTGATACATACCCAGGGCGGGGGTGTCCTAGTTCGGAGACTGGAGAGTACTTTATAGAAAGCCCCAGTCCTCCAAAGCCCATGCACAGAACGTATTGCAGCTACACTTAAGATGCCCTGAGTGACCACAAAAGCAGGCAGTTCCCAGAGGTTGCCTGGATTCCCATTTGTTTTGCAGTCAGGTTCTCCTGAGTGTCCCCTATGGGCGGGGAGGTCAGGGCTTTTTGCGCACAGGAGAGAATCTCACAGGGTGAGGTTGGGGTCGCAGAAACAGCCGAATATTCTGTTTTTCTTTCGATTTTAGTTTTATTCGTTCGCTGAGAATTTCATACAATTTTGATCATATTCACCCCTCTTCCAACTCCACCCAGACCCACACCCCCTTCTACTCACCCAACTTTGGGTGTTCCCTAATTTATTTTTCCAAACGTACCAAGTACAATTTGTGCTTCCTGAGGAATATTCTTATGAGGACGAGCTCGGTCGCCCCATCCGTCCCTTGCTTTTCCTTACCCGTGTGGAACCATCTGGAGGCACCGGAGCTCTGGGGTCCGCACGAGCGAGTTCTGACCCGTCTAAGGACTGAGAGGTGGGGGGTGGGTGGGTAGGGGGAGGCGGCAGCACAGCGACTGCCTGTCCGGAGGCCCCAAGGCCCCGTGTTACCCAGAGAGGGCGTCGTCCCACGCGAGAAGCGTCGTGGTCTCCGTGGTCCCCGCTTTTTGGTGACCTGTCCATCCGCAGGGGATTTCGTGTACCAGTTCAAGTCCTACTGCTACTTCACCAACGGGACGCAGCGTATACGGTACGTGACCAGATACATCCACAACCAGGAGGAGTTCGTGCGCTATGACAGCGACGTGGGCGAGTTCCGCGCGGTGACCGAGCTGGGGCAGTGGCCTGCCGAGGACTGGAACAGCCAGAAGGAGATCCTGGAGGAGAAGCGGTCCCGGGTGGACACCGTGTGCAGACAGCACTACGAGGGGCCAGAGTCCCGCACCTCCCTGCGGCGGCTCGGTGAGCGCGGCGGGTCGTGGGTGGCGCGGGCCGTGGGGTCCGCGAGGGGACACGGAGTCAGAGTCCCGCATGAGGAGCGGCCCTGGCCTCCTCCCTCTGCCCTGCACCACCCAGCGCCTCTTTGAGCCTCCCTCCTGTCTCACCTTTGCCCTTTGCCCTCTGACCGCTGGCTCTGCTGTGACCTCAGTCACCTGTCAGCGCCAAGGCAGGGAAGCTGAGGAGGGAGGAGGGCCTCGGATGAGCGGGGGAGCTGGTGACGGGAGAGCGGGGGTGGGGGGGTGGGGGGGAGCTGGAAGGAAGCGGTTCCATGTTAACTCTGTGTCCCGCGGTTACTGTGGTCACTCCCCGCGAGTCAGTTCCCCTGACTCCGCTGTCCCTTGGAGGCAGAGGTTGTCCTGTGAGGGCTGTTCGCTGCCTGGCGCTGACCTGATGGCATCACTGCCATTTTCCTAGTTTTCTGAGATAGACTGTGTTGACTTTGGTCACACTAAAAGTTTAATAAAAAATCTGAGGGACTTATTTCCATCATACTCGCTGATACTGCGAGAGCCTCTCACATGTGATGTCAATTAAAGCGTCATGTTCAGATTTAATATCTTTTTTGTTGTTGTTGTTGTTGTTGTTGTTTGTTTTTTGTTTTTGGAGACAGGGTTTCTCTGTGTAGCCCTGGCTGTCCTGGAACTCACTCTGTAGACCAGGCTAGCCTCGAACTCAGAAATCTGCCTGCCTCTGCCTCCCAAGTGCTGGGATTAAAGGCGTGCGCCACCAAAACCCGGCCTAGATTTAATATCTTACATCAGGACCAACGGTTAATTGGAAAGGTTGCTAACGCTTTCCCCTCTTGCTTTCTGGGAGGCCTTGTTATTCAACTGTTGGCAACTGATTCCTCACAGCAAGGGAACAGTGATGGCCGCCAGGAATTAAAGCACTTGACTGAGGAAAGAAAACTGGGGCAGGGAGAGGAGAAAATGAGAGAACACAGTGTGTTCTCAGTTCATGAAACACGTTAAGGGTGTGTGCTGTTTTCCTCACTGAAGGGTTAATAGCACCCGGGTAGAAGGCTTCTGACATAGTGGCCATGATGTATCAAAGTCGTCCCACTGTGCACCACAGTCTGAGGAGATGAAGGATGTCACACTGGAGTTACTTTTGCAATTTTTTTTCCAAAAATTAACTTGAAATGAGAAGCCATTTTTCCTTTTGTCTTATTGTTTACTTTATAAAAACAGCTTATTTTTATATTTTTGCATAAATAAAATATTTTATTTACACATAAATTTAAAAAAGGCACAGAGAATTTACGAAAAGGGTTTCTGTGTGAAGTCCTGGCTGTCCTAGAACTTGCTCTATATCCCAGGCTGGGCTCCCAGTAGAAGAGATCCTGCTGGCTCTACCTCCTGTGTGCACCTCCACCTCCTGGATTCTTTTGTCTAACTACCTTACACATTATATAGGAACATGGCCACACTGACTGCTGTTTTCCTAGTGAGTTAAGTTTGTATTTGTGGAGTTGATTTCCATTCACTGGGAGGACCCAGGCACTCATCCCCACCCTGCCTCTTCCCCAGGGGAGTCTCCACGTGGCCCCATCTCACTCACTGTCTTCTCTGTCACCCCAGAGCAGCCCAAGGTCGCCATCTCCCTGTCCAGGATGGAGGCCCTCAACCACCACAACTTGCTGATCTGCTCGGTGACAGATTTCTACCCAGCCCAGATCAAAGTGCGCTGGTTCCGGAATGGCCAGGAGGAGACTGTGGGGGTCGCATCCACACAGCTTATTAAAAATGGTGACTGGACCTACCAGGTCCTGGTGATGCTGGAGATGACTCCCCAGTGGGGAGAGGTCTATACCTGCCACGTGGAGCACCCCAGCCTGCAGAGCCCCGTTACAGTGGAGTGGCGTAAGGGAATTTTCTTCTTACACCATGGAACCCACATGACAGGGAATTTTAGCTGTTATTACTCCATCCCTCTGATGTCACCCACCCTGTCACTTGTCCTGCATGGTCTGCTTCTACTACCGAGTGGAGAACCACAGGGAACCATATGTCTCGGCTCACGGTCAGGACATCAGGAGAGCCCTGACCTAACTGTCTGCCCAGACAGCAGTTCTGGAGATGACAACATACACTGGGCCCTGGAACTCAATGTCCATAGCAATTGGCAATGATAGCTAGTGGGTGGATATTTTAGCTCAAGATTATAGACAAGTCTTTGAGCCACTAACACCCGAATATCTTCTCCCCCACCACTGTGCTCAGAGCTCCTGGCCCTTCCTGACCCTGGGTCAGAACACAGAACTGAGTCCTGCCAGCTCCCTCACCTCCTATGGCTCAGGCTGGACTGTAGGCTCTCAGTCAGGGCTGTTGTGCCCTGTGGGGACAAAAGCTGACACTGGGCTCTGCTCCCCAGGGGCACAGTCTGAGTCTGCCCAGATCAAGATGCTGAGTGGTATCGGAGGCTGCATGCTTGGGGTGATCTTCCTCGGGCTCGGCCTTTTTGTCTATCACAGGAATCAGAAAGGTGAGGACCTCTGGGAACCTGGAGGTGGTGGGCTGGGCTGCAGGAAGGAGCTGGGCTGTGGGTGGGAGGGCACAGAGGTCCCAGGGGAGACACTGGGATCTGGTTTTGCTGATTGGGTGACTGCCACAGACCCATGGTGGACCTCATCCTGTGGCTCCTGTCCCTGTCATCCACTCTCACTGACTTGTCCCCAGAAGCTTCCACCAATGAGAATACATGGGCCTTGCTTTCCCTCCTATTGTGACAGTTTCATCCATTTGTGTGCAGTGCTCAGGGTCTTCGTGAATACAGACAGTGAGAGAACAGCTCCAGCTAATCTGAGGACCCATCGCCCCTCAGGCTGTGTGAGAAAGTCCCTGTGTTCATAGCAACACCTTTCTCTGTGTGACTTCTTTTTGTAGGACCTTGGGGGCCTCCTCCAGCAGGTAATATTTCAGCTCTTATCTGAGCGTGGTGCAGGGGTGAGGGTGTGAGGGAAGGGCGGTGCAGGGGTGAGGGTGTGGGAGAAGGGTGGTGCAGGGGTGAGGGT